ATGACATATAGTGAGGTGATGGTAGTTTGAAGTCAGAAGTTAACTGCCAGTTGATAGACTTTTTTGCCGTATGGGTATACATTGACCGGGGTGCACCACGTGGAGGTAAGTCTATCGCACACCCTAGATGTGGGTAAGATGAAAGTCATCCGTGTCCTGTATCTTATTGAAAGCGATAGAGGTCTTGAGTGAGGTCATGTGATGTCTAAAGGGTGTTAACTATATTTTGTTGTCGCTTGCTAATAATTGCTATGAGTGCAGTCCAGGAGAATGCCGTTTTCAATCGAACAGAGTGCTTATTATTGAAACTTATCTGGGATGTAAATCATTTTAAGCATCAAATGAAAGTTTGGACTACAGGTTCAGTCTCTACCACTAAATGTCACTCTGTTCATTTGGGTCTCAGTGTGCACATGAGACTGCTAAGATGGCAACCAGACGTCTATTCTCCCAAATGAACTTCAAACAGAGGTCATATTAGAACACATTGAGATAGTTAATTATGCATGATATATACTTGTAACACGCGGACTACACAAAACGGCAACATTATTTGCTTATAGTTCCGTACTACTATTGTTGATGAGTAGTTGTAACCAATTCTTCATATTATCCTAAACGGAACATGATTCCACCTAATCGAACACATGAACTTTCAAAATACTCGCGATATTAGTTAACAAGCAATCCCTATCTATTCCACTTTGTGGCCAAGGTAAAAGGTTCGTGTTGAGACCTGCTGAGGTGCGCATCGAAGTTTGTGGTGAACGCCTCCTTAGCTTTCTGTGACTATTGAATATTCAGTATGTAGTTGGGCGGAAAATTCTGTTTTTGCCCCTTTTTAAACGAACGTAAGGGTTTAGTTAACCCTTCTATATGCCCACAGTACCTTGTTCATCTCGACCCCCAGTGGTTTTGTCTTCTTTGCCTACAATTATCAAGTTAATTTGTGGTTTTGTGTTCTAGAGGGCCTAGTGTTAATAATTTCTCACTTTTAGTGGACTTTGTCCAGCATTCTGGCAAATCAACCATTTATTATAGAGCGTTTTCTGATCGTATTCGTTACTTTGACAATGGAATAAACAGCTTTGTATTATGATAAGCCGGCCATTAAAGCAGATGTGTGCAACGGTGGCCAGTGGACCCACGAAAGCTGATGTAGGGGGTGAGCAGGTTAACCCGTTAAGCCCCCCCCCCCCAATTAAATATAGATGAGTCTGATTAACTATTTGACATCGTTTTGTCATTTTACTCTTCAAGAGCAGAGTTTATTTCACTCAAAAGCTTCAAAGGATAACAGGTAATAATGTATTTATTTATATCAAATGACAGGCGTTATGTTAGTTGACTTCAGGCTTCACAAAGGGAGGAACACCAAAGTCACAAGAATTTTGGAGGGGGGACAGAAGAGCTCTTCGCAGAAGAAAAAGGTGAGGTGAGTACTGTGGAAGTATGTGAATTTGACTTATAGTTGGGTCCTTGTAGTTTGAAGTCAAAAGTCAACTACAGGTTTGCTGACTTTATTTGCCGTATGAGTGTACTTTGTCCAGGTTGTACCATGTGGAGGTACGTCTAACATGCACCGCAAAACAGGTAACAATTAGTAAGGGAATAAAGCTATTTTTATTTAGAGTAAAGGGAGAATTTGTTTATATCAAAGGGCAGACGTTTTGATGGTTATCATTAGCCCTTTAGTTGACTTCAGGCTTCACAGAGAGGAGGAGGAACATCAAAGTGACAAAAAGTTGAGAGGGGGGGGGGAACAGAAGAGTGTTTCAAAGACGAAGGTAGAAAAAATGCGAGGTGAGTACTGTGGAAGCAGTCGAATATGACATACAGTGGGGGTGATGGTAGTTTGAAGTCAGAAGTCAACTGCCGCTTAATAGACTTTTTGCCGTATGAGTATACGTTGCCCAGACTGCACCTCGTGGAGGTAAGTCTATCGCACACCCCGAGTAAAGGGAGAATAAGCCAGACGTTCAATTTATACTTAGTCCTGTCCTAAACCTTAAGTATCATGTAAGGCCTTTTTTCCGTTCTATCATGCTTTGCGATGAGATAATTCAGTTTTTTCAAATTTGCTAATATTTCTCCGTTCCATTTTGAAAAACCGCTTTCAAAACAGGTATTGGAGGAGAAAAGTTCAAATCAAGTGTTGGTTGACAGTAGTGGGTTAGTTCTAGTTCAGCTGTCTATCACTTTTTACTGCCTCATAGCATCTTGTTGTCATTAGCCGCAATTTACACGAATTCTTCCCGCTTATATTCAAATTTATCGAATGAAAGGCTATTGGACGTTGAGTGGTCATTTAAAGAGAATTGCTGGGAGGTAGTTTGATGCACTTTAAAAACAGTTCCGAAAAAAGGTGGTTGCCTTTAGACCAGTTGCATGTAGAGAAGATGTCTCCGTGGCTCAACTTAGTTGAATTAGCTCTCCTTTTGCAAAGTGATACTTAACAGAATAGAAAGTAATTAGTGCCCCTTAGGTGGAAATTAGAATGTCACATTCTCTTTCGCCCTCCCCCTAATTGTCTCCCCAGCCTCCAACGGAATTAGACTAAGATTAATGACTACGCCTAGCTCAACTACCAACATGCGTGTTTCATTTAAGACAAGAGTAAGTTGCTTTTAGTTTCAAATTAATGATACTGAATTTAAACAACCTCAAAGAGGTAATGACATGAAAACTACGGAATTGCGTAGTTGAGTGAGTGTGATTTATGAGATCAGAATCTAGATTACTTAAGGTTAGGCTGGTAAAGAACCACTTAATAAAAAACACCAAATATGTACATGTGAATAACTTCTAGGCCCATAGCTGATTTTTGACTCATCTATTTCTACTCAGCCAATTGGAAGCACAAGATTAGTATAAAGAAGAAGTAAAGGCGACCATCAAAAAACGCCTACCTGACTGTACAAAGACCTCATCTTCGATAACGAAATAGGGGTAAAGCGGAGTAGGAATTTCCTTGGAAGCATATTTGGAGGATGGCATTCTCAAGCATTTATCGATTGAGCAAGAAGAATAACGTCAAATTATCTTATCGCATCTGTCTGCCTTTCAAATCTTTCCCACAAGATAGGTCAAATAGAATTATTAGAGGATAATTCTTTAGGTAACAGATTTGTATTCCCTCGCATCCAGGAACTATGCCCTTCAAAATCTTTAAACATTATGCAAATAAATCGAAATGACCTCCCAATTACTTATCTATTGTTCTAATTAAATAGTTATAGAATTTGTATTTAGGCATTATATCAAGAAGGTGAGGTGAGTGGATAGTTGGACCCGATGATTCGTTTTTTGCGGATAATTCAACGCTTTCAGTTGCGTTAAATTTAAAGTTTACTCCAATATCTACAACCATCCCAACGGTAAAATTAACTGTTTAGCATTAGCGAATTATGAAAATACTGGTATTTATTAACATAACAAAATAGCTTGACAATGAATTAAAGACAATCTGAGTAGAGGGGGGAAACTGTCAACCCACATTTATTAGGCAGAGGGAATGTTAACGCGAATTGACCTCAGAACAACAGAAAAGAGAAGACTACTAGTTCCCACGCATCATTTCCATCTATATGCACAAAATTCTGCTCTGTGCCGTTGGAAATGTGTTAGTGACATCCTTTCGAAAATGGGTACATTATGCCTGTGAACTTCTACTAATTACTGCTAATAACTAGGCTCTACATATACACCTTTCTGAAAATAAATCAATTTCCAAATCTACTGTCTTAAGAATGATAGGATCGACCTCCGCTAATCGATTCCATATGACAAAGAGTAGAGGGCATTTACCTAATAATCGTAATACCCAAATAATCCTTATTTAACATGAGTGGTCTCCTCCTACGCGTTTGGATAGTGTCCAAACACGGTTAAAGTAAACAGTCTAATGCGTGCTCGAACATTTTGGAATGTGCGTACCAGTAAAATTAAACAATCTACTCTGTTCCTCACCTGAGGTAAACATGCACCAGATATTTGAATAGAAACTAACACAACTAGGCCACTTTTAGCTATGGTCTTCACCAGCTTTAAAACTTAATGGAGGTTTCATTCATTTAAAACCACTTCACTCCTTTTGCTACCGAGGTTGCTACTCTAAACGCAAGACCAACTTTTAGAGTTTATAAATTCCAAGCTCTTTGATGGGAAACATTTTCCAGGTCATGTATTAAGCTGAAGAACAGTATCCTGGAGAATCTTTAGTCAAGAAGTTACCTTCCAAAACCACTCTCAACCAAAACAGCAGCGATCGTATATTAGCTTACAGTCGTGAATATTGACGGCACACCACAGTCGATCCATGGAATTCAAATTCCTTCATTCAGCTTTCAACTACGAGAAATTAATTTTGAGCAGAGATATTGTGGAGGTATCGAATGCGGTTATCAAGTTATCTAAACACGATTAACTTACTAGATAAATAAAAGGTTTAAAAATATTTTTATCCATTAAAAAAGGAGCTAAATTCAAAACCAGTTTTAGAAGAAATTTCTTCACTTTTTCCAACAAAAAATATAAACAGCATTGTTCAAAAAATACAAAACGTATATTCACAATTTCCAACAATTATCTATCAAATGAGAAAAGGCAAGCAACAAAGTCAAAGAAAAGGATAGGAAAAAAGGGACATGAACACAAAGGATTCGAAGTGGACTAATGACAACAAATTACGCAAGAAGAGGAAGTGAAAGATAGCTAGGTAGTAATTCAACTCAAGAAATAGTAGAAACACAAAAAATATACTCTGTAGGGATTACCATAGAGCCATTGCATTGTGTGCTTTACGGCCTTTGGCTTGGCCTCTTCGCGACCATTGTAAAAGCCGATACATTTTATCCACCTGCTCCTTTAATTGGTTAATTCTGAAAAGAAAACAAAAAAGACAATGCTTGACTCAAGAGTATGATTGACTTTTATAAAGGGGAATAGATTAGAACGAGTTATCTTACCGAGTTTTGAAATCCGACTCCTAAGATGGGGCAAAAAGTACGGTTGTAAGAGTAAATGAAACTGTAAATAATATTCTACTCAAATAAAATAAGTAGCAAGCTCACTTACAATAAGTCTAAGAGTAGAGCGGAAGGCGTTTATACATTGGAACATTTCGTCGTCTGAGCTAAAAAATAAATTATTATTATTTTTAAGTTTAAATATTTTTTGATACACAACAGGGAAATAACATAATGAGTGACTTACCTATATGAGGACATCGGTTGCTGCAATGCGAAACAACACAGGTAGAATAGAATATATCTCAACTTTAAAGCAGAATTCATACGCATTTTAGTTAGGTCTTGGATACTGCTTTTCCTAATCGATCCGCGATATCCAAAATCGTGCATCAGGAATAGATATAGTTGTTATTGGATAATTTTATTGAGCGCTTTAAGTCCTGATAGCCTAATACGCGGCTTTAAATTCACGAGTGCTGATTGCTTTCATCATTAGAATCATCGTAATTCCGGCTAACTCAAATTAGAGAGGATCTAATGAAGATCAGCCTAAAATAATTCTAGTACATGTTTTTGTACGGTTTATTGATTTCAAAGACTTATCTGAATATCTTGAATAAATAAGTTCTGAAAATATCTTTTGTTCATACCAATTATTTAATCTATTCGCAATGTATCTTCTTGCTTTCAAAGAAATTGGAAATGATTTGGACAATGTATAAGTAAAAGAATAAATATTAAGGCGAACGTTAGCCCATAACAAGGTAACATCCAGTGTAGGGTTACACTCAGCACTAATAGAACCTAACAAAGTGTTTATATTTGTATATTCTTATCGGGCACAAACAATGAGCACTTCTCGGTTGAAAAGGATGCTTTTTACTACCTTGAGTATCTCAATATTTTAAAATTTGCTCGAATTCGTAAAAAGAAAGAGTTTAAATCTGAAAAGCGCTCTATAGGTGAAACAAGACTCATTGAAGAATTAGAAGGTGGGATTTTTCTGATGAATAACTTGCATCCTGTCTCTTACCTGTTTATTCATATTAACAAGGACATATAATTGGATCGGTTAGTCAACGAAAAATTGAATAATATCAAACCTTCGCCATTAGTACTTATTCAGTTATGACAAAAAAGTTAAGAGCACCAATACCCAAACATGACTTACCACACCGTCATCCAAGTCAACTATTTCAAAATCTCCTCTAAGAGGCTTTTTCATCGTTTTCACTTTGGCGGATGGTGTTTCTTTTCCAAGTCGCGGTAACCCGGTCACCAACTGATCATCTTCTGACAGCGTGAAGTCAAAGACGGCAGTGTTGTTGGGTGTTGGACCAAAAAGACTAGTCTGAGAAGCATTCAGATCACGTCGCGGTTTCTCGATTGACAAGGGGGTTGCATACAGGCCGGCCCGAGGTGACTTGGTGGAAGTTAGGGGGGAATGCTCAGGAGTTTCATGATCTTGAAGGCTGAAAGTGCAAGTATCGTTTAAAGAGTGGGCAGAAAAACTCTACTAAGAGAGAAGGACATGAAGACAAAAAGGGATATATCTAGGGATATAAGGAACCGGGGGGGGGGACTAAGAAAAATGCTCATCAAGTACTAGTCCCAAGAATCCAACATTAAGCTGGAGAAAATAAAGATCGGATAAATGGAATAGTCTTCTTTCAACACAATCGTGAATATTTAAAAAGTATCTGTTAGTAACTTCGATATATTGAACAAATGGGCCGTCTTATAGTAATCATATGAAGCCGCTCCACGTGAGTATTTTAATGAATAGTAAGGCACCTCACTATTGGAAGGTACCTGAAAGGGATACCCTCCCCTGTATTGATGGGTGATGCTTATAAATTTAGACGATTGGCAAAATCAGTTCACTACACATTTCGTCCAATGAATAGGAAAACAAGATAATAAAGACTAAATGATTGTAATATGCCGTCCTCAGAAGAATTCATGAAGAAATTAAAAATTCAGCTTAGTCTGGAATCTGGAACTTGGGAAGTATATAAATGCTTGACTGAATATATTTTTAAGGAATAATTTGATAAAAATCATCACATGACACCAAAGAACCAGCTTCAATTTTTGATAAAAGAAATAACTTACAGGCTTGTTTCCGCGATTTTACTTTTAGCTACTTTAGCGGCTTGCCGAATGGCTGGTCGAGATCGTAATTTGTATGATGTTTCATCATGACTACCAGAGTCATCTTCTAAGGAGCATGGATCTGAATCCACATCTGAACTATTATCCGTTTGAGTATCTTCCAAGAACGCTGAAATAGAGAAGAAATAAAACCCTATAAGATTGGTAACTTTTGATCTTACTAACTCTGTCCTTCTTGGCAAGAAGGAATGCATTATGAAACTTAATAGTATTGAAATTGATCATTTCAATTAACGGATGTAAATCGCAGTCTCTCAAACACTTTTCTTTTATAAATGATTGCTATGCCTTCAAAGGCGAACCAACAGCAAATAAAGGTGAAAGAATTGTGTTAACTGCAAAAAAGCTAAATAAATAAGTGGAAAGCTGTTTTGAAACTGCACTATGTGCTTAAGAAAATATGAATACCATATGTATTAGTATTTAACAATATTTTGAACTTGGGGTGTGCGATAGACTTACCTCCACGTGGTGCACCCTGGGCAA